TTTTGAGAATCGGCGTTATTCTGATATTTCGTAATTTTTGGATATCTTGTGTAGAACATATTGATACTATAAAATATTTTCTTTACCATCGACTTTTAAAGAAAGCAAACAGTTTACACCTATGACTATAGCTGTCAATTCCTTTTTACGGATCAAGCTCATTAAGGTAAGACATTTTTATTACTCGTTATATATTCTTTCAAACGTATTCCCTTTAAAATTTCTATTTTCAAAATCCCCCAAAGAGGATTTACTGCCTTTCTATTTCCATTTTTTCCATTTTGGTCATTTGATACAGATATATGTAAAAACGACTTTTGGTTACTCAACTGAGCCAACTGCAAAATCCTGTCAACTCCCCGTCTTTATTCTCGCTAACTGATTGGTTTGTCCCGTGTGCGTGAACACACGCGTATGGGTTTTGTTGTAGAAAAGTCCGGGAAGGAAACATGAGGAAACTTTAGCAGTCGGTATGGACAGGCTTCGAAGCAAGGATGGGGCAGATGAGTGAGTGTACGCTTTGGAATAGTTGAACCCTTTGCGAGATGTTTGTGGTAGAAAGGAGAGTGAAAAGGGATGCTGTTGAAAAGATTTTCTGTTGACATATGCAGCATGTACGAAGTGAAGGATTTAAAAAGGAAAAAAAAAGTGGGGGGAAAGACAGGAAGGAAAGAAAGAAGAAAGAAAAGAGAAAAAGAAAAAATGGTGAAAGGCCAGGAAGAAAAGAAAAAGAGCAAAAAGAAATGAAAAAGAAATGAAAAAGAAAAGAGAAAAAGGAAAAGAAAGAACGTATGCTAGTGAACAGCAAAGAAAGAAAGAAAGAAAGAAAGAAAGAAATGAAGAAGTGGGAGTGATGAAAATAAAAGAAAAGAAAAAAGAGAAAAAGCGGAAGGAAAAGGAATGAGTGGAAAAAAGAAGAAATCGTGGTTAATGATAAAGAGAAAGAGAGAAAGAAAGTGAGGGAGACAGAATAATAATAATAATAATAATATTAATAATAATAATAATCGAAAAAAACACGAAAAAGTGGTAAAAAATATATAAAAAAAAACAAAAGAAATTAAATGCAAATCTAGTTAAATATTAAACAAAATGGAGATTAAAATATAACATCGAGTGAAAGAAAATGAAGGAATTTAATTAAAAAAAATCTAAATAAAATAGGAAAAAAAATAACCAAGAAGGGAAAAGGAAAAAAACGCCAACAAAAAAAAGAAAAGAAAAGAGAAAAAAAAAAAAGGATTAAGAAACGAAGAACGATAAAGACATTAAACTATAGAAGCAAAAAAAGAAAGACTAAAAGTAAAAGAATGAGAGAAAAAAAGAGAAAAGAAAAGGAAGAAAAGAGGAAAAGGGAAAAGAATATTAGTGACAGAACAGAAAAAAACAAAACAAAAACGAAAGACTAAAAGAAAAAAAAAACAGGAATTTAAAAATGGTTCAGAATGAAGGAAAATAATGGAAAATAAATGAAAGACAGACGTGAAAGAAATGGAAATAAAAATGCAGGAAGGCAAAAAAGAAAAACGAAGAAAAGAAAAGAAAAACGAAGAAAGAAAACAAGTAAAACATAGGGAGAAGAAAAAAGAGAAAATATTGAAAGAAAGATGCAAAAAGAAATAAATAAGAAATAAATAAAAGAAACGCTAAACTGGACACCCAGGTTAGCCCACTTCAATGTTAAAGTAGCTGTAAATTTCCCAACCGATCAGAAGCCAACATTTCAAACACTATTCTTCAGAGTCAGCAACCTTTTCCCTATTTCACTCAACCCAGTGGTTCAATTTGATCCCCGGCTGGACTCTGAACATATTAAATATCTTCATTGTGCATTCGCAGCATTTAAAACGGTGCTGTTTTATTAATGTCTCTAAATGTATGTTTTTTGTGCATGCATAATTTGATGTCATTTTTCTCTTTTAGGCCTTGTACCATACTTGAGCTTATTAAATATCCCGTGGGTGTTGAAGGACGGAGAAATTAAATGCATGCATCTGTAGTTCTGTAAGAGAATAAAAGAAAAGACAAAAAAAGAATGAGAGTGTGGAAGAAGGCATTTTTTTTTTATGACGTCCAAACTTTCTAGAAATTGTACTGCTTAACACATCTTTCTCTTCTCCCTGCCACTTTCTCTATCTCGTGACAACGTGTGCACGGACACGTTGGCATACACGTTTATTGATAGAAATCGATAGATTGAAAGTGAGATCGAAAAAGAAAGAGAGAGAAATACATATATATATATATATATATATATATATATATATAAAAAGAAGAGGGGTGCCGCAAACGTTTTTTTGGTTGTAATGTGGATTTATTGAGAAAAATATTATACTTTGTTTTACATAATTTCACGACACGTGTTTCTGGTCTGGTCTCGCAACCGTCTTCAGGTGAAAGTGGAGATTTTTACATATTATTAAAAATAATTAATTTTTTCTTCATGTTCAATGTGGAATATTCTCGATATGAGACATTCTGTTTTGTGTGTTGGCAATCCGAATTTTCAAAGAAAAATTAGTATTTTTTCGTACCCCTCTTCTTTTTAATATACATACTTTTCTCTCGTTGGAACCACTACAACATATTTCTTTTATATATATATATATATAGAGAGAGAGAGAGAGAGGAAGAGTGAGAGAGAAAGATGAGAAAGACAGTGGGAGAGAGAGAGAGAGACTTAGTGAAATTTTAAAAACCTTGCGCCCACTGACGAAAAGAGTCTTATCACATTGTTCTCATTGCTTCTGTTACATGCCCATTGCGTACTTTCTTCTTTACTCTGTCGTTCTCTTTCAGACAGACAGACAGACAGACATCCCATACACAGCCAAACACATGCACACACTGAGAGATAGAGAGAGAGAGAGAGAGAGAGATAGATAGAGAGAGAGAGAGAGAGAAATAAACATAATAATGAATAAATTCAGACAAAAAATCTGCACTTGTAACTGCTAATTATATATATATGTGTGTGTGTATAATATATATATATATATATATATATATATATATATATATATATATATATATATATATAGGTTCAAATACTAATATTCCATGGTTATAATTTATTACATTGGAATCGTAATCACGATTCAATTTATCAGACCTACAAATTCAAAATGTTTTTTTTCATTTTAACAGATATACTTACCAAAATTACACAAAAATATCTTGAAATCCTTAAGAGTAAATTTATTCAATAAAATCACCATTGGTTTTAACCATGGCCTCCAGATGACTTCGGAATCTCCTGCAACTCTTCTGGATGGTCTCCTTGTTTAAGTTGGTAAATGCTGCCATAATCCTTGCCTTCAGTTCATCTTTGATATTACATGACTGTGTTCTCCTACTTGTGTGACATGGTGCAGAGTCCTGTTGTAAGACATAGAGGCTTCCAATAGCCACCCTCTTGACCCAGGACAGCACTACCTCCTCAAGTCACTTGATGTAAGCTTCTCTGTTGAGTTTTAGGCCCAGTGGGAAGATGAATGGAAGCATAACGTCGCATCACTAGTAATCACTCCAAAAATCATGATGTTGACTGGATATATCATCCAACTCTTTCCAAATCCTCTGCACTGTCCTCAGATTGACACCTAAAGACTTTGAAAAAGACAAAACGCTCTGCAAAAAACATCAAAGCCTTTTAAACCATATTAGAAGTTTCACCTATATATATATATATATATATATATATATATATATATATATATATATGTATACCTCACCGGTAGGACAACTCGGAGTTTCATGCACAACGCAATATTCAGGTGCTGAGTAGAAAGTGAGCGTCCGTTACATAATTATGTGCTACAGGTGAGGTATAATATGTATATTTATTTATATATACTTAACAGCTCTGTTATATTATATCGAGTACTATTTTATTAATATATATATATATATATATATATATATATATATATATATATATATGTATGTGACTATTCGCGTCGGGTAAGATAGGTTTTCCTTTTGTCTTTATTCATATCCTTTGGCAGATATATTTTTAGTTATATCTGAGTTTTCACACACACACACATATATATATATAGTCGAAATTGAGGTCAACACTCAGTGGCAACAATGTGTGGTTCATGCTTAAATAAAATCTTCATATTTGAAGATTGTGTTTAAGCGTGAAACAGACTATCTTCATTGGGTTTTAGCCTCGATGTACACTTTCATAATTACATGTTCTCTCTCTCTCTCTCTGATATAACTCATAAATATAGCATACATTAAAACTATATTAAAAAAAATAACCCCACCTCCAGTGATATTTAATATAAAATAGTAAATTACCTTTTTTAAATATAGTTTTAGGTCTGTCTATTTTAATATGTATTCTTTTAAATAAATACTATTAATCCGTCTTTAGTTTTAATAGAAAATCAAATATTTACCCCGATTATTTTATATATACATATATATGAAATCAAAACCCGTTCATTTTAAGTGTTACATATATTTATTAAATAAAACCCCGCAATCCCCGTATTATATATGGACTGCGCCAGCATTGCATTAACCAGATATTTTTTATTAGAATTTAATTTATGTAACGGTCAGTCTCTACCCAGCACCTGAAGATTGCGTTGTGTATGAAATCCCGAGTCGTGCTACCGTTGAAAAAATAATATGTATATTTATTAATATATAAATAATAGCTATGGTATAGTATATCTAGTACTATTTTATTGACACCAGCACACTATGTGCATATATATATATATATATATATATATATATATATATATATATATATATATATATTGAATAACTGTTTAATTGAAATGTAATTCCAATTAAATATGCATGATATTTTTGATTATTTTAAATAGAGCGCTCAATATTCTACAGAAAGAGATCAATAAATGTTACGTTTTTTTGATCTTCTTCAGAACCTGACAAGCAGACGTGTAATTAAATTATCTCGCACACACACACACACACGTGTGTGTTCACGCACTCACATGTGCGCATTTCTGCACATGTTCACCTTTTCTGGACTTAACATTTTACTAAACGAATTTGTGTTTTACTGTATCGTTTTAGAAAAATTGTATCGTAATAAAAACCTATTTCAATTGATTCTTATGTAATTACCTATATTAGCCTTTTTCTCTCTATAATCTCTCTCTCTCTCTCTCTCTCTCTCTCTCTCTAGCTATCTTAATTTATTTGTATCTATCTGTATCTATCAAAATTTGTTTTTATCCATCTCAGTCTGTTCGTATCTATCTATCTATCTATCTATCTATCTATCTATCTATCTATCTATCTCAATCTTTTCGTATCTATCTATCTAATTTGTTCGTATCTATCTCAGTCTGTTCTTATCTATCCATCTATCTATCTATCAAAATTTGTTTGTATCTATCTCAGTCTGTTCATATCTATCTAATTTGTTCGTATCTATCTATCTATCTATCTATCTATCTATCTATCTATCTATCTATCTATCTATCTATCAAAATTTGTTCATATCTATCTATCTATCTATCTATCTATCTATCTAAACGTGGAAATACACATATGTACGAATATTCTCGTATTTTAAATTTTTAATTTCTTTTGAAGTATAAAGTTTTGCTTAGAGAGTTCCATTCTTACAGAAAAGAAGAGGAATAAATTAGAAAGAAAACCGATGGAATGGTGAACATGGTCTGATAGATTTTGCATTTACATCAGACGCCAGATATTTAAAAAATTAATTTCAAAGCTAAGCGTCCCTGTATTTTATGCGTTTCTAGATATAAAATTATAACCAGCGTCTGCTGTGTTTTTTCTTTCCACCCCATCAAGATTGGCACCAAATATGAAGCCATCATTTAGCCTGAAGAAGTACTTGCTAGTAACGAAACGTCGCTCTTTCATCGTCTCTTACAAGCTCTACGCCATATAAGTGAATATTGTTACCTCTGCGTCCTTTTTTTCTGCTTTCATTTTCTTTCTTGCTCATGTAAAGTCCAAGTTTTGTGATGCATATCACTTTTAGCCAGTAACTACCACGACACAAACACACTTTGTCGCCCATGCGCAGATGATTGTCTGATTCACTCAGCGAAACATGAGTTCAGAATTCACTGGAATGGTTTGTAATAATAGAAAACTAATCAGGAGTTCTATTTCTACCGAAAGATCCAAGACATCCATCTTTTGGTATTTTGTAGCTTTACTTTCTGAATTGGTTTGATTTGTTTTACGGCATACCAACACCTCAATGGGTTATTTAATGGCGACAAGATTTTAAAAATAGATTCATATGAATAGAATAAGTATTCTTTGTAAAAAATCTGTATATTTTCGTTTTATTGGCGTATTTTTAGAAAGAGCATTTTTATCAAGAGTCTGGATTCATTGATATATTCTTTTCAGATATACAGATTGAAAAGAAATTGATTTTATTCAAATTCACATTTGGTTTATATTTTTTTGGTAAAGGCCCACTGTTTTAAGAAATTATATTATGTCATCCAGGGCACCTCGAGACGGTGTAATGGTTAGCAAGCTTGTCTCGCTAGAACAATTACGACTGAGTAGTGAGTTCGATCCTCACTGGGTGCCCATTAATTTCGGCCTTGTGCCACATCTGAGCTACGCTTGGAAAATCACTATATTATGTCATCCATTTTTGCTTTCTCAAAGATCTCATACATGTTTATATTGTAGAAATTTTTTTCTTGAGAGAGCAAGGTTAGAAAATTTGGTTCATATATCTTTAATAGCATATTTTTTAATAGTGTATGTTTCACATGCTTGGGAAATAAGTTTTAACCTTGTTCATTGACTGGGTTCATTGTACAGTGGTATAGTATATGATTTACGGGTTGGTTTGTTTTGTTTTACGGCATATCAACATCTCAATGGGTTATTTAATGCCGACAAGATTTTTATCGCTAGTAATATTTTTTTTCAAAAATGTATTGCTGTTAAAATTCATTTCTAGTAGTAATTTCTAGTAGTAATTTCTAGTAGTAATTTCTAGTAATAATTTTTTAGAAAAATCTATTAGTAGTATTGAAACCTACTTTTAAACTTAAATGTTTTGTTGGTAATATTTTCAAAAATATATTGCTGGTAATAATTTTTTACAAAAACGTATTGCTAGTATTAAAACCTATGTTTACACTTTCATGGTGTTTTGACCTCAGGTTGTGGGTAATCTATTTACCTATAGCTGAGACCCTAACAGGTACTAACACCTCGAGTCAGGGGGACCTGGGAATTCAGAGATGGTTCCCAAATCCTCAAAACCTCTTGATCATATATATATATATATATATATATATATATATATATATAAAGATATGTAAATTTTTATACATCAAGAACAGTTTTGGAGGAAAGATATATGACAAAATAGAAAAAAAGTTTTCGTCTGATGATCTCCAAAAAGCGAAACACATTACACAAAAACTTTACATTTTGTCATATTTATTTCTTCCAAAACTCTTCTTGATATATAAAAATTTAAATATTTTATATATATATATATATATATATATATATATATATATATATATGAAGAAAATTTGGAAAAAAACAAACCAAAAATCCTTAAATGCAATTATGTTGTTTAAAATGAAATGTCGACGTCTGACGTTTCGGTTTAATAAACTTCTTCAAGACAATAATCAATAAAATACAATTCAGTTCAATTTGACAAAGACGATGGACATAAAAAACAAGTCTTATCCAAAACAGATAACTGAAAATTTTTAAAATGATCAGCTTTCCGTTTAGCATGGTCACGTTGTCGTCACATGGGCGACGCTTTCAAAACGTATTCCTAAAAAATTTTTGATTATTTTGAATGAAAAAGAAAATGAAAAGAATTCTATTAGGATCTAAAATTTTTATGTGTATGCTTGTCGAGCATTAATCTCGCTAAAAAAGGGGAAATATTAAAGAAACCAGGTCTAGTATTCACCGTGCGTGAGATGGATTTTGGTTTGTTTTTTCCAAATTTTTCTTCATTCTGTCGGATCTATATTCATTTACATTTGCTTACATATATATATATATATACATATATATGAGAGAGATTTTTTCTATGTCGACAATACAGTTAAATTCCCAGATCAAAAAAAATAAAAAATCTCTTAGTATAAAGGAACTTTACATTAACCAGAAAAAGGCTTAGACAGAAGCGTCTATCTTTTTTAAATTTGGATTTTTTAATGTAACTATAACAACAAAAAAATAACGGCAAAATCTAAGATTTTTTTCTAATTGTCATTTTATACTATATATGTATATATATATATATATATATATATATATATATATATATATATATATATGCAGTGGTGCATCATGGTTCGGATTGAGAAATAGAAGAGCCGAGTTCGAATTCCAGTTGAGTTCTTTACATCCACTTACATGCAAATATCCTTAGGAAAGATATGAATGAATCCCTTCTCCTCTCAGCTGTGGGTAAATATCAAAACAGACTGGACCCTATAGCCATGATTGGCAACCAGTATAAGAGAATGACAAGTCTGAATTTAGAACCTGAGCAAAGGTCGTTTGGAAACACTGTGGCACACTATGTGCAACGACTGTCTATATTCGGAAAAGTTTGCTTGTTTCTGCACAAATTTTCACCACTATAATCAAATTATATATATATATATATATATATATATATATATATATAATAGCATACCTACGGACGATAATGGGTATGTCCCCATTCACATAAATGCAGTAGTAAATACTGTATGTTGGTCTGCAGTTGGAGATTCATCTCAGTTGTGCTATCAAACTCTCTGCCTCAGGGCAGACAGGATCCCCAGACGAGGCTGTGTCGAAGGGCAGAGCCTCGTCTGGGGAAACAGCTACCCGACCCAGTTTTATACAAGGTCTATGGGCAATTTTTGACCGAGCCTAGAGGCTCGGATACCCCACATTAAATTCGGCCTTGTGCCACATCTAACCGCGTGGGACGGTTGGAGATTCAATGTGGAATTCATTTAACTCACTTCCAGCAGTTGACTACTTCTTCTACGCGCCGCTGGCGAATCTTATATGTGTTGTTCTTGTCCTAAGTATTATCATTCATTACCAACCTTCATGTGATTATTCTATTCAGTAACCTTTCGTAGGTTACTAGAATATATAATCAATGGCCGTTTGGTTTAAAGAACTGAACTGCTGTATCTTTATACGTCGAAATAAAAAAAATGTCATTCTTATTACGTTTATATTTAGTAGATGCACGTGTTTGAATTCTTTTTGTTTAAATTGTAAATTTACATCTACCGATTCATGGATTTGAGAGTCTTATTAAAGTATAAAGGTCACTTCCGGCAGGGTTCAAACTTGTCTCTACATGTTTTTTAGACCACTCAGCCATAGAAGACTTTCAGAGTCAATCAAAGTTCAATTATCCTATTTCAGAAATACATATCTTTTATTCGGATCCCTCGAAGCCCATATCTGCTGATTTTATTTTCGTATCCGAAACGTAAATAAATTAATTTCTAAGAAGTCAAATTTATTTTATTTATAATCTGACATAGTTTCTTGTCATTTTAACGTTGTGTTCATATTTTCCAGCGTTTTCGTAGATGTCTTATTTTTTTTACGTTATTTTAATCTTAATATGTCTATCACTCGGAGACCTAAGTAACATATTCATTCTGTATTTCCATGAAAAGAAAATATTGCTAAGAGGTTAAAACTATGGAAAAAAAAAATCTTATTTCGAATTTAGAACTAAAATCGAAACCATATCGTCACTTTCAAATTTGTTATTACTCTAAATCTCCTTCAGTTTGAGTAAGGACTTTTTTTATATATATATATCCATATCGCTACTGATATTCGCTTGCAGATACGCACAATGACTAACTGAAAGCAATTCAGTTGTGGTTAACGAGCTACTGTTGTGGTTAACGAGGTGCATTTACAAGCTTTTAACATCGCTTTAAATAAAATACATCATAATTGTGATCTAGTGTCAGATAAAGGCAAACTTAGTTAACAGATAGGCATACATACGCTCATGAAATTAATGTTTACCCATTCAGTCGTACTTCGATGTCATAGGTTCATATTTAGAGAGGTCTCTTTGTTAAATCACAGTATTCAAAGTCGTAATCTGGAAATTCTGGACTTACTCTATTACCTGTAGTGATTGCAACAAGTGATACAGAGGTGAGATTTAAATAAAAGATTATTTGAACACCAAAAGGTCTTTTACAGAACAACACAATACATTAATAGCTCCCTGTAGTGAGTAAGACCACAAATTCGATTTTGAAACGCTACCATTTACACTATTTACATCATTCAGACTGTTCTTAATTGCCATATTTACGACTTTTCGGTCGTTGTACACTCGGGCCTTCTTCAGGTGATATACGTTGGAATTTCGAACCGAACCCTTTATTTAGTTCACGAGGGTAGATTGTTCTAATTCCACGTGCCAGGCCTCTTTTTGGATATCTCCACTTCAGTTAATTCTCCAATTTTTTGTCCCCTCTGCTGTAGCCAAGTATTGAACTCACAACTCTTTGAGTCAAGTCAATTTTTGAATGACTT